GTCTCTCCTGCCCGAGCTGGCTTTGAACCGTGATCCTCAGATCTCAGCCTCCTGAGTAGCTAGGATTACAGGCGTGAGCCACCAGCGCCCGGCTCAAGTAATTTTTTTAAGGGCAATTCTTACACAGAAAGGAAGGCGAATGGCGGGCGGGGACTGGGAAGGTGGCTCAGTAGTAGAGTGCTTGCCTTGCATGCATGAGGCCCTGGGTTCAATTCCTCAGCACCACATAAGCAGAAAAAGCCAGAAGTGGCGCTTGAGCTGAATAGCTGAGGGACAGCGCCTAGGCCCAGAGTTCAGGCCCCACGACCAACAAAAAGAAAAAGAAGATATTCTAACTTTTTGGCCTGCTTTGGAGGAGAACTCAAGTTTGCTTGCCAAAGCTTATACTCTGGAATTTCATCTTCTAGCCTCACTAGCATCTTCCCTTCTGTTGTTATTGTTTTTATCCAATGCTTGATATTTTATCCTATAGATATATCTTATTCAACCAACAACCCCCTACTTATCTCAAAGTTCCTAGCCTGCTGGAAATACGAAAAAAGACATTATGAACAGTAAGGAATGAATTGGTGATAATCCTGGCATACCATCTATGGGCTCAGGCATTAAAAGTGTTACCAGAAGCCAGGTGCCAGTGGCTTATACCTGCAATCCTAGCTACTCAGAAGGCTGAGCTGTGAGGATTGTGGTTCAAAGCCAGCCAGACTCATATGTAGTTAACCACTCAAAATGGGAAATGTCACTGTGGCTCACAGTGGTAGAGCACTAGCCTTGAGCAAAAGAGCTCAGGGACAGCACCCAGGCCCTGAGTTCAAGCCTCACAACCTACAAAAAGTGTTTCCAGAGTTGTGGCACTGATGGTTCATGACTATAATCCTAGATACTCAAGAAGCTGAGACCTGAGGATCGAGGTTCAAAGCCAGCCCAGGCAGGAAAGCTCATTAGACTCTTTTCTCCAATTAAGCAACAACAACAAAAACAGCCAGAAGAGGAGCTGTGGCTCAAAGTGGTAGAGAGGTGGCCTTGAACAAAAAAGCTCAGGGACAGTGCCTAGGCTCAGAGTTCAAGCCCAAGGACTGGAACAAAAAAAAGTGTTACCAATCCCTTGGATGGTGCACTCAATCTGCTGCCCCTGCCACCTTCCCACTACCACCTAGTTGACTCTAGACTCCAGACAGAGGCAGTGTGAGCCAAAAGGTAGACCAACAGCACAGTCTTCTCCCACCTTAAGATGCAGAAACAGGGAAAAGCCGGGCGCTGGTGGCTCACACCTATAATCTTAGCTGCTCAGGAGTCTGCGATCTGAGGATCGCGGTTCAAAGCCAGCCGGGTAAGAAAGTCCATGAGATTCTTACTTCCAATTAGCCATCAGAAAACCAGAATTGGCGTTGTGGCTCAAAGTGGTATAGTACTAACCTTGAGCAAAAGAGCTCAGGGACAGCAGGGGAAACAGTAGTGGGGCAGTGGTTAACAAATCTCCCCCGGCACCAAGCAGGGCTTGAAAAGGTCACTGAGGATGGGTAGGAGAGACCTGGGGGGGCACATCTCTCAACTAATCTTGGAGCTGATGTTGGGAATGGAGTGGGGGCAGTTCCTCTAGCACTAGGAGCTTAGGAACCAGGAGCAGGGAGGGGGCAGTGCAGCTGTGCTACTGCTCAGGCAGGGGGTGACAGAGCCTTGGGCCAGCTCAGTGGACTCCTGTGCTCTTTCTGGACCCTAGGACTATGTAATCCCTCCCTGACCCTTCCCTGTCCCTAAGTTCCTCCATGCAGGCTAGTCAGTCTGCAAATCAACATCAGTCTCCCAAAGCACTCAGAAACCTTTTATGAAAAGCAGTCTTTTGGGCTAGGTAAGTGACTCGGTGGTAAAGTGCTTGCCTTGCATGCATGAAACCTTGGGCTCAATTCCTCAGCATCACATAAACAGAAAAAGGCAAAAGTGGCGCTGTAGCTCAAGTGGTAGAGCACTAGCCTTGAGCTGAAGGGCTGAGGGACAGCACCGAGGCCCCACAACCAACACAAAAGAAAAGAAAAGAAAGAAAAGCAGTCCTTCCCAGAGCCCACAACTAAGTGCCCACCTTCAGCCCTGGCCAGCGCATCCCTGAGAACTGGTACTGTAGGGCAATTGATGCTCCCTATTCTAGTTCACCTGCTCTCCTTGCCTGTCACTTCCTTCTTCCTCAGCTTCCCAATCTGTAAGATGAAGATGATTCAATCTGTGGCCAGGCTGAGCTTACTGGGCCATCTGCCCTCTACAATGACCTGACCTCTCACTTGCTCAAATGTGCCAAGTTCTTACCTGGTTGGGGGAGGGGGGGTGAGGGGGGAGAAGGGCTACATCTCTGTGCCACAGGCTAAATAAGAATCATTAAGGGAAGATGACCAAAAGCTAGGAGCTGAGAATAAACACTGTATTAATAGGTAACTTGAAGTTTCTTATTGCAACTAGTCATGCACTTAACCTTGCACTAATGATTTGCATTTATCCAGCATGCCCTGGATAAATATTGGAAGAAAAACATCTAGTAAAACTCCTAGGACTAAAAGGAGACATTGTTGATGTGCTTTTTGCCCTATATACATATCTTTTAAAAGAAATTACAGCTGGTGCCAGTGGCTCAAACCTGTAATCCTAGCTACTCAGGAGGCTGAGATCTGAGGCAGGAAATTCCTTAAGACTCGTATCTCCAATTAACCACCAGAAAGCCCAAAGTGGCACTGTTGCCTCAAATGATAGAGTGCTTGTCTTGAGCTGAAGAGCTCCTGGATAGTGTCCAGGCCAGAGTTCAAGCCCCAGGACTGGCAAAAGAAAGAAAGAGGCTGGGAAGGTGGCTCAGTGGTAGAGTGCTTGCCTCACATGCATGAGACCTTGGATTCGATTCCTCAGCACCACATAAGCAGAAAAGGCAGGAAGTGATGCTATGGCTCAAGTGGTAGAGCGCTAGCCTTGAGCTGAAGAGCTAAGGGACAGCGCCTACGCCCAGAGTTCAGGCCCAGGACCAACCAAAAAAAAAAAAAATCATAGTAAATTCTCAAATGCCACCTATATCAATTAAGGACTTGGTCTCGATGGGAAGGGATGGTAAAGGGAAACAAAGGAGGAGCCAACAATGCTTGCTTGGTAAGAAATATACTCATTACCTTGCTCATGTAATTGTAACCCCTCTGTATGGTATTTTCACAATAAAAAAATTTTTTAAAAATTAAAAAAAAAATTTTAAAGGACTTGGTCTCTGGCAACACCAAATAAGAATTTCAAGAATATAAGAAGCTGGGCACTGGTGGCTCATGCCTGTCATGCTTGCTACTAGGAGGCTGAGCTCTGAGGACTGCAGTTGGAAGCCAGCCCGGGCAGAAAGCCCATGAGACTCTTATCTTCAGTTAATCACCAGAAAACGAGAAGTGGCACTGTGGCTCAAGTGGTAGAGCACTAGCTTTGAGCTGAAGAGCTCAGGGACAGTGCCCAGGCCCAGAGTTCAAGCCCTACAACTGACAAAAAAAAAAAAAAAAAGATATAAGATACAGCACTGGGAATGGGGCTTAGTGGTAGAGTGCTTGCCTAGCATGCATGAAGCCCTGGGTTCGAGTCCCCAGTACCACATATATAGAAAAAGCCAGAAATGGCACTGTGGCTCAAGTGGTAGAGTGCTAGTCTTGAGCAAAAAGAAGCTCAGGACAGTGCCCATGCCCTGCGTTCAAGCCCCAGAACAGGCCAAAATAAATAAATGAATAAATAGAATAGATACAATTAAAAGAAGGTTTTCACCGTGAAGTGACCTTGGCTCAAAGCCTGCAATCCCAGCTACCCAAGGGGGTTGAGATGTGAGGGTTGCAGTTCAAAGTTATTGCCGTATCTTGGCATTTTGGCTCAAGGCTGGGATTCTACCATTTCAGCCACACCTCAGTTCTAGGTGGGATGTTCTTGCTTTTCTTCATAACATCACGACCATGCTGAAAGTCCTGAAGGTAAATACTGATGGAGAAGTGGAGCCAGGAATGTCGCTCAGGGCTATGGAACTTCCTGCAAGTCCTGCTCCTTGCAGATACCAAAGAGATAAATTGTTTGCTTGGGGCACGCTAATGGCTCACACCTGTAATCCTAGCTACTCCGGAGGCTGAGATCTGAGGATCCCGGTTCGAAGCCAGCCCGGGTGGGAAATTCCGTGAGACACTAGTCTCCAATTAATCACGGAAAAAGCCGGAAGTAGCGCTGTGGCTAAAGTGGTAGAGTGCTAGCCATGGGCCAAAGGACCCCAGGGACAGCACCCAGGCCCTGTGTTGAGTCTCCAGGAGGACCAGCAAAACAGGAGAAAGTTATTTACTGCTGCATGGATGAAAGGGAAGGCAGACGCTCTGGGTAAGGCCAGCAGGGCCTGGCCCGGGCCCGGGCGCCGGAGGGGGGCACGCGCTCCCCGACCGCGCGCGCGCGCACAGCAGAGACCAGGGGCGCGTCCGGGAGCCGTCAGGGCCCGGAAGCCCGTGTCGGGGCGGGTAGCCAGGGCGCTACCTTCAGTCACGTGGCCTGACGTCCACAGCTGATTGGTCGCTGGCTGATCCGGATCCCGGATTGGCTGTCCGCGGAGCGCCGGGCCCGCTGAGACCATGGAGGCGGCGGTGCTGGCCACGGCTCTGGGACTCCTGCTCCTGGCGGGGGCCGGGGGCTCGGCGGGCGACGAGGCGCGGGAAGCGGCGGCCGTGAGGGCGCTCGTGGCCCGGCTCCTGGGGCCCGGGCCAGCGGCCAACTTCTTGGTGTCGGTGGAGCGCTCCCTGGCGGCCGAGTCCGGCTCGGACACCTACAGCCTGAGCGGCGGTGGCGAGGCGCCCGTGCGGGTGCGCGGCTCCACGGGCGTGGCGGCCGCCGCAGGGCTGCACCGTTACCTGCGCGACTTCTGCGGGTGCCAGGTGGCCTGGTCCAGCTCTCAGCTGCACCTGCCGTGGCCGCTGCCCGAAGTGCCCGAGGAGCTGACCGAGGCCACGCCCAACAGGTATCCCGATCGCCCCGGGAAGCTCGTGGACAGCTGCCTCCAAGCCCCGGGGCAACCCCGGCCCTAGGACACCCACTCTGCGCTTAGGTTCCGCCCCACACTTGCACTGGGCTGGAACCGAGGAAGCCTGGACACTTGCCAGCTCCATTAGCTCTGAGATCCAGCAACTCTGACTTAAAATCCTAGTGCCCCTCTAACAGCTGTGTGTCCTAAGCAAATCACTCAGCTTCTCAGAGTCATCTGAAAAGATGAAAATAACGACTACCACCGTGTAGTGATGAACGTTTGCACAGTGGTAGGCATGGGTGTTGAGTTGCAGGTGCATAACTGTGACCAGTAAAGTCTATTTCTTCCCTACCTGATACTGGGGCTTGTACTCTACCACTTGAGTCAAACCTCCACTTCCAGCTTTTGGCTGGGTAATTAGAAATAAGAGTCTCAGGACTTTCCTGCCTTGGATAGCTTCCAACAGGACTGAGAACCTCAGATTTCAGCCTCCTGAGTAGCTAGGATTACAAGCATAAGCTCACCTGCACCTGACACTGATCTCTCTCTCTCTCTCTCTCTCTCTCTCTCTCTCTCTCTCATCGTGGAGCTTGAACTCTGGGCCTGAGTGCTTTGATCTCTTCAGCTCAAAGCAAGTGCTCTACCACTTAAGCCACAGCACCACTTCCAGTTTTCTGGTGGTTAATTGGAAATAAGAGATTCACGGACTTTCCTTGCCTTGGCTGGCTTTGAACCATGATCCTCAGCTCTCAGCCTCCCGAGTAGCTAGGATTACAGGAGTGAGCTACCACCGGCACTGAGGTCTTGACCTCTTTTTGAAGATGCTGAAGAGTGATGCCCACCAGGCTCACAGGCCTCTGTTGCAGCACTTGCCATACTATGTGGAGATGCTTTCTCACATCTGTCTTTGTGGTGGCAGGACAGGGCTTCTCTTTCAGACAGGGAGCAACTTGGCCATATAATACTGAGACACTCAAAACTCTGAAAGTGTTGAATGAAAGGAAACATGGGCCCACAAATGTCTGCCAGGCTAAAAGGTGAAGCTCATGTACCCAAGTCTCAGCTCCAGAGGTGGATACTGGATTAAAGCAAATAGAGAGGCCAGTTTGGGACTACTCCCCACTCGGCTACTGGGGGTAGGGATAGGAGTTTCTAGGGTGGTGAGGCATCCTCTCTACCTGCAGCAATGTTCCCCTCTCCACAGGTACCGCTATTACCAGAACGTGTGCACCCAAAGCTACTCATTTGTGTGGTGGGACTGGGCCCGCTGGGAACAAGAGATCGACTGGATGGCACTGAATGGCATCAACCTGGCACTAGCCTGGAATGGCCAGGAAGCCATCTGGCAGCGGGTGCGTGCCCACTGGTCCTCTCTCCTATCTACCTCCTACCCCTCCTGCTCCTTGTGCCTGTCTCCAGCCTCAGCACAGTACTGGCATGCAGAATAAGAGCCCCAGGGCTGGGAATGTGGCTTAGTGGTCGAGTGCTTGCCTAGCATGCATGAAGCCCTGGGTTGGATCCCTCAGTACCACATATGCAGAAAAAGCCAGAAGTGGTATTGTGGCTCAAGTAGTAAAGTGCTAGCCTTGAGCAAAAGAAGCTCAGGGACAGTGCCCAGGTCCTGAGTTCAAGCCCCAGGATTGGAAAAAAGAATAAGAGCTCCAGAAATGTTTGTAGACAAATGATGATGGCCCAGCCTTCACACATCTGAGTCTTTACTGCGGATGAAACCCCAACACTACTGAACCTGTGTAAGACCCCACAGGTCCTACACACACATGCACACTTATTCTACCTCATCAGCAGGCCTGATCTCTACCCTGGGATGTTCATCTGAGCATCCTTGCTCCATGAAGCTTCTTAAGTACCGGGTTGGGGGACAGTTTCTTTGTGCCCCACTTTCTCATCCATACACCCAAGGCAATAGTCTTCTGGACTTATCTGCTCACAGATCTCTTCCCCATGGACTGTGGCTCTTTGCACAAGGTTTTGTCCTAGTGACTCCAAGGCCCAGCAGTGCAGAAGCAATGGATGAATGCCTGTTCATGAATAGAGATGGGCGTGTTCCTAAGTGTGGGGAATCTGCTTCCTCTGCAGGTGTACCTGGCTTTGGGCCTGAACCAATCAGAGATCAATGAGTACTTCACTGGCCCTACCTTCCTGGCCTGGGAGCGCATGGGCAACCTGCACACCTGGGGCGGCCCCCTGTCCCGCTTCTGGCACCTCAAGCAGCTTCACCTGCAGGTAAAAGGATGGGGAAGGGCAGGGATAGGTTGGTCAAGTTCAGGGAGGGTGGGATTTGACCAGCCTCGGGGCCCACAGTAACTGCTCCACGGGGCAGGTGAGGTCCTGCTCACAGCTGCTCTTCCTCCCAGCATCAGATCCTGTACCGGATGCGCTCTTTCGGCATGACCCCGGTGTTGCCTGCATTCGCAGGCCATGTCCCCAAGGCTATCACCAGGTGAGCTGCTCCCTCACTCTCCACTCAGCTGGGAATGGAGAGTTACTTTTTCCCTGTAAGTCCTCACTTGAAAGCTGGGCACTGGTGGCTCATGCCTGAAATCCTACTTAGGAGACAAGATCATAGTTCAAAGATAGCCTGGGCAGGAAAGCCCAGGAAACTCTTATCTCCAACTAACTAGCAAAAATGTCAGAACTAGAGGTTTAGTTCAAGTGGTACAGCACCAGTGTTGAGAAAAAAATGTAAGGGACAACACCTAGATCTTGAGTTTAAGCCCCAGTACCAGTACTAAAAAAGAAGAAAAAAGAAAAAAAGTGTAGCTGAAGAAAAAAAAAGCCAGGGGTAGTAGCAAATGCCTGTATGCTTGTGATCCCATATACTCTGGAGGCAGAGGTAGGAGGATCAAGATCAGAGGCCAGCCATGGAAAAATTATCACAAGACTTTATCTGAAAAACAAGCTAAGTGTAAAACGTTACCCTAATGTGTGTGTGTGTGTGTGTGTGCGCGCGCGCACGCGCGCGCATGCGTGCGCAAGTGCCACCCTGGGTTCAATTCCCAATACCAAAAAAATAAATAGTAAGTTCTAGGTGGAGGCCTAAGTTTGACTCCTGGCTAGCCGTGTGGCAATTACATGGCTGCTTCCTGCCTCAGTTTCCTCACTTGTAAAATGGGATCCTCACTTACTTTGCATAAGGGTTGGGAGTTAGACTTGCTGCAGAATGTTAGCAAGTACCTGCTCATCAGCAGTAGTGAGGGTCGCACTGGTCTCTGTCCTACACCTCTCTGCTCCACACCCTCCCTCCTGTGGCTGGAAAAGGCCCAGAGGAGACCCACAATCCCTTGGTAAGGGCCTTCATGGTGCCGATGCACACCTGTTCTCACCGGCACCTGCTGGCCTCCATGCTACCTCTTCACCTCCCTCTCCAGGAATCGGGAAGCTCATTCATTCATTCTGTGGACATTTGTCCAGCTATATGAGGATGCCAGACCCAGCTCTGTGCTGGGTCCTAGGAATGCAGTGATGAAGGCACCCCACGGCTCTGTCCCTCACGGGTGACAGTTGGGGACGTGATTCAGTGACAAGCGCAGGAATACATGTGCACTTGTGGAATGATAGGCAGAAAGGCCCAAGAGGAAGGCAAGTGCTGAGCCTAGTCTTCAACAAGGAGTACTCCTTTAAGTCAAAGGGAGAGGGGAAAGGAGAAAGGGAGAGAGACGGACAGACAGCACAATGGGAAAGAGAGAGATAGCAAAAGCAAACGTTCCAAACAGGAAATACTTAAATGATAGTGAAAAGCAGGTAACCGAGGCAGAGGAAAGGACACAGAGCGCTCAGCATGTGCAAAGGCACAGGGGCATGACACACTCCGGATTGAGAGGTGGTGATGCAGCTGGTGAGGAGTGATGGGAACACTGTCCGCCTCCAGGCACCTCTCTGAGCTTTTCTTCCCACTAGGGTATTTCCACACGCCAATGTCACCCAGTTGGGCAGTTGGGGACACTTCAACTGCTCCTATTCTTGCTCTCTCCTTCTGGCTCCTGAAGACCCCATATTCTCCATCATTGGAAGCCTCTTTCTACGGGAGCTGACCAAGGAGTTCGGCACGGACCACATCTATGGGGCTGACACTTTCAATGAGATGCAGCCTCCCTCCTCGGAGCCCTCCTACCTCGCTGCAGCCACTGCTGCTGTCTATGAGGCCATGACCAAGGGTACGGGGGCCTGGGGAAGGTGGGGAAGGGAGAAGTCGGCGGGAGGGGGAGGAGGACTGGAAATCACTCCTCCCTGTAACACACAGCACTTGGAAGCTTCCCCAGCTTGTGCATACAAACCATCTCTTAACTGCGCTGAGGTTGAAACCTGATTGTTAGACCCCAGACCCAGAATCCAGGAGGCCCAAGTTAGGTCCTGCGACTTGTTCCTGTCTACCAAATCAAGAGACACAGGGAAGATGGAGAAGGGACATATATTACGTGACAGCTAGGGACCGCCAGCACTTCAGTGCATCTGTAGCCATCTTCTGAGAGTAAAGACACTGGCTTCAAGTTAAATAGGGAGTATTGAGGGCAAAGGGTGGGAGAAAGGTTCTGCATAACCACAGTCTGATAACAACAGTCCCAAATCAAGGTTCTGCATAACCACAGTCTGATAACAACAGTCCCAAATTAAGGTTCTGCATAACCACAGTCTGATAACAACAGCTCCAAATCCCAGGTGTGGCCTTGCTTACCACCAGCTCAGTCTTTGTCCTTGGAGTTGCTGATATATTGTCACTTTGTTACTGGAACAGAACAGAAACAAGGTGGGCTCCTGAGTTTGGAGGCTGTTTTCTTTAAGATGATAAGAGGAAGGCACTGCCTGGTTGTAGAGCAACTTGCTCCCACACCAAATGCTTATGGTTGAATTTTCTCTTTCCTCATGCAAACAGGTGATTGCAAAGAGGCTCCAAGGAGAGAATAGTTCAGATACAAAGAATACAGATTCAAAGTTGAGGGGCTTTTAGTTAATTCACAGGGCCCAACAAAAGCATCTTTTAAGTTGCCTCTTACAGGTGTGAGAGGTGAATTGTGGAGTAAGAGCTCAGTACTAACAGCTCCTGGCTGTTTGGCTTCCGACAAATGAGCACCCTCCTGGTGTTCCAGTGGCTTCATCCAGACAATGGGTTGCCACACAGGAAGTATGATGCCTGGTCCTTTAAAACATCATTATAGAGCTAGCCACTGAAAAGATTTGATTTGATCTCTAGCTCATTGATGAAACAGATTTTTGTAGGCCAGAGGTTAATAATATCTGGGTCCAAAGCCAATTAAGGTATTCATCATACTGCAGAATGTGAACCCAAGGCCCAAGTGATGGAGAAGGCTTTAGGCCAGCCGAGAAGGGAGCAGATTGGCTCAGGCTTCCTGGAGCAGTGCTCTCCATGTTTGATCCAGAACCAGTGGCTTGAGCACCCCTCTAAGTCTATGTGTATAAGTCCATTTGCCATGCTACAACATGGAGGCTGGGCTACTTTGTACAGAAAAGAGATCTATAGTTTCAAAGAGCTGGATCTGGTGATGATCTTGTTGACAGAGTCTCAAAGTAGCACTGGGCAAGAGACAGGAAGTGCAAGATGGGTGTTCTCTGTTCTCTCTTCCTCTTCTCATAAAGCCACCACAATGCAGTCATGGGGCCTCCAGCCCAATGACCTCATCATCTCCCAAAGTCCTCACCTCCTAAACACCATAGTTGGATTAAGCTTTCGTTCATAGCTCACAAAAGGGATTTTTTTTTAAAGTGTGAGCACTTGTATCTTTGTTTAATTTGTAACAAAGCCTTACAGGCAGGTGCAAACAGTAAGTGCTTGGGAGGCTGGGTGAGCGCACAGCTGGAGGAGGCAGCATGGGGAAAGCTGTGGTGACTGTAGTCCCCTTGCTGGGGTGTTGCGGGGGAACTGTGTCCTCTGATGGTCAGGTTTCTTCTATGGACCTGTGTTCTCATGGATAGAATGGACTTGACCTGCACCTCCGTGGCTTCCTCCACACTCATCACCTCTCTTCTCTTCCCCCTCACACCCCACCCCCTCCGCCACCAACTACAGTGGACCCTCATGCGGTATGGTTACTCCAAGGTTGGCTCTTCCAGCACCAGCCAGAGTTTTGGGGACCTGCCCAAATCAGAGCTGTGCTGCATGCTGTGCCCCAAGGTCGCCTCCTGGTCCTGGACCTGTTTGCAGAAAGCCAGCCCGTGTACCTCCACACAGCCTCCTTCTATGGCCAGCCCTTCATCTGGTGCATGCTGCATAACTTTGGGGGTAACCATGGCCTGTTTGGAGCCCTGGAGGCTGTGAACCGAGGCCCCGAGTCTGCTCGCCGCTTCCCCAACTCAACCATGGTCGGCACTGGCATAGTCCCTGAGGGCATTGGCCAGAATGAAGTGGTTTATGCCCTCATGGCTGAACTGGGCTGGCGGAAGGACCCAGTGCCAGATTTGGAGGCCTGGGTGACCAGCTTTGCTGCCCAGCGGTACGGGGTCTCCCAGCCCAATGCGGAGGCAGCCTGGAGGCTACTGCTCAGGAGTGTCTACAACTGCTCTGGTGAGGACTGCAGAGGACACAACCGCAGCCCGCTGGTCAGGCGACCATCCCTCCAGCTAAATACCATGGTCTGGTACAACCGATCGGATGTGTTTGAAGCCTGGCGGTTACTTCTGAAAGCCGCTCCCAACCTGACCACCAGCCCAGCCTTCCGCTATGACCTGCTGGACGTCACCCGACAGGCAGTCCAGGAACTGGTCAGCTTGTACTATGAGGAGGCAAGGACAGCCTACCTGAAGCATAAGTCCCGTCCTCTATTCAGGGCTGGAGGTATCCTGGCCTATGAGCTTCTGCCTGCCCTGGATGAGGTGCTGGCTAGTGACAGCCGCTTCTTGCTGGGCAGTTGGCTGGAGCAGGCCCGGACAATGGCAGGCAGTGAGGCAGAGGCCTATTTCTATGAACAGAACAGCCGCTACCAGCTGACCCTATGGGGGCCAGAGGGCAACATCCTCGATTATGCAAACAAGCAGCTGTCTGGACTTGTGGCTGATTACTACCAGCCTCGCTGGGGCCTTTTCCTAGAGACCTTGGTGGACAGCCTGGCCCAGGGCATCCCTTTCCAGCAGCGCAAGTTTGATGAGAAAGCCTTCCAACTGGAGCAGGCCTTTGTTCTCAGCAAGAGGAGATATTCTAGCCAGCCCCAAGGCGACACTATAGACCTAGTCGGGAAGATCTTCCTCAAATATTCTCCCAGAGGGCTTGCTGGCTTTTTATGACAGTCTCATTCTACCCATACCACTGCAGGGCAGGATATGGAAGCCTCGGGCTGGAAAAGGATCAGAGGATATCCCTAGGCCCAGAGGAACAGCCAAAGGCCTGCCTGTGGGGCAGGTAAGCTCCGGGCTTGCAGGGAGATAAACTGTCCTCCAGGACCACCTGAAATCTGATATTAAAGAACTGTTTTTTATCAACTTAATAAAAGGATGAAGCATTCCAGGTCTGTCAGAATGAAAAGGTCCTTGCTCTGATATATCAGGGCCTGGCGCGGGCCCATTGCGTTCCACCCCTTGCCTCAGTTTCTTCATGTAAATTCTAACCTCTTTCCCTGTGTAAATTCTAACCTCTGACCTATGAACTTGTAAAAGGTATTTACTTCCACAGTGTGTCAAGAAAGTGAAAACTTTTATTATTTTTATTTTATTTTTTATTTTTGGGTCTAGTCGTGGGGCCTGAACTCTGCGCCTGGGCGCTGTCCCTCAGCTCTTCAGCTCAAGGCTAGTGCTCTACCACTTGAGCCACAGTGCCACTTCTGGCTTTTTCTTTTTGCTTATGTGGTGCTGAGGAATTGAACCCAGGGCATCATGCATGCAAGGCAAGCCACCTTCCCAGCCTCGAAAACTTTTATTTTTGCCGGTCCTAGGGCTTTAACTCTGGGCCTGGACACTGTCCCTAGGCTCTTTTTGCTCAATGAGGGATTAACTCCCATCCTATTTTCCCAGGTACATACAGATATCAGGCAAACCACCAAAGGTATTCGCATACTGCTTTACATAGGCAGGGCAGTACTCCTAAGCCTGGAGGTAAACATTCTGTTGTGAGCCCAACCCCAAAGCCCCCCGCCCCTCCCCGGCCACCTCCCTAGACCTAATGGCTTTTTCTTTAACCTCTGCCTTCTTGCTCAGACCCCATCAAAACCCAATTCCTCTCCCACCTCTTTGCACAATCTTCAAGCCCGTAGGAAGGCTGTGCCCTCACTGCTATATCTCAATATAACAGTCCTCGCTTGTGGTAGATGAAGTCTGGCCTGTTTCCTTCCTTTCTCCTTCATTTTCCTAATACTCAAAGCTAGTGCTCAACAACTTGAGCTGTAACCCCACTTCCAGCTTTTTCTGTGATTACTTGGAGGTAAGAGTTTCAGGGACTTTTCTGTCTGGGCTGGCTTACAATGGCAATCCTCAGCTCTCAGCCTCCTGAGTAGCTAGAATTACAAGTGTGAGCCACCAGCACCCTTCTATAAACTCTTAATTGTTCCTGGGAATACAGAGCAACCAGGAAATTGCCCATAGGAGAACCCAGGCCTCCTGCTTGCAAAATCTGCCTTCTTCCACCCCACCACACTCCTCGCCAGCTAGTAGGACAGTTGATGTTATAATCAGGGTCCTTTCTCAGCTTTGACCTGTTTGACCTGCAATCGGGAGAGCCAGGCAGGGGTCCGAGGACTCAGCCTGGAGATTGTGGAGCCGACACACAGACATAACAAGGGGTGGAGATGCCTTGCAGGCAGGGGCGGGGCAAAGCAGGTGATATCTTCGGACCTTCACCTAGGGTTCTCAGAGCGCTTAAACCTCACTCCAGCCTGGTCATCATGGACCGGACTGTGGTGCTCATCACTGGCTGCTCCTCAGGCATCGGCCTGCACTTGGCTGTCCGTCTGGCCTCAGACCCTTCTAGGAGCTTCAAAGGTGAGGGGACAGTCCCGGAGAAAAGTGAAGAGCTCCCGGAGGGAAACAGGGTATTTAGATCTTCACACTCCATGCACCTCTAGTGTATGCCACGCTGAGGGACCTGAAGGCGCAAGGCCCTCTCCTGGAGGCCGCCAGGGCCAGGGCGTGCCCTCCCGACTCGCTGCAGACCCTGGAATTGGACGTGAGGGATTCGGATTCCGTAGCCAATGCTCGGGCACGAGTGACTGAGGGCCGCGTGGATGTGCTGGGTGAGCTCACCGAAACGCCTTTGGCAAGAACCTTCCCTGCCCAGTGTCCCAACCCGGGGAAGGGGGTGGAGCAGGGCTGAAAGCAAGTTCATGAGGCTAGCGGGGTGTGTGGGGGGGGTCCTTCTCCCCACAGTGTGTAACGCGGGCCGGGGCCTGTTCGGGCCGCTGGAGGCACACGAGCTGGACCACGTGGGCACCGTGCTGGACGTGAATGTGATCGGTACGGTGCGCTTGCTGCAAGCCTTCCTGCCAGACATGAAGCGGCGCCGCAGCGGACGAGTGCTGGTGACCTCAAGTATGGGCGGCTTGTTCGGTGCGTGGGGGCGTGGCCACAGGCCGCACTGAGAGGTTGTGGGCGTGACTTGGCAATGGGAAAATGGTCCGGAAAGCGGGGGTGGGCGAGGCTTGGTGCCGGGAGGGGCGTTCCAGGGCGGGGTTTGCTCGTTGGGGGCGGGGCCTCGCAACCTCCCATCCTCTTCCAGGGCTGCCCTTTCACGCGGTGTACTGTGCCAGTAAGTTCGCTCTGGAAGGTTTATGCGAGAGTCTGGCGGTTCTGCTGCTGCCCTTCGGGGTCCAGTGAGTCACACACACACACCCTCCTGAGCCCTCTGAATCCTGACCTTGGAATCCCAAGCACTTGGTCTTGGAACTACTCTCAGGCACCCCCCTGGCTCTCCTTCCCCAGCTCAAATGGTTGCATGCCAGGCACTGTGCACTTCGCGACTTAGCTGCGGGGGCATGGATTTTGTGATGTATCTCCCCTGCCCGGAGAGGCTCGATCACTGGCCTGGGCTACACAGCTCCAAGTCACCCAGCCAGGCTTAGATTCTGCCGCCTGAGTCTCCCTCAAAGGCTTGGCAAACGCTTTGCTTCTCTTAAATGCCCTGTCGCTTGGCGTGCGGCTGGGCCACCCAGCGGGGAGCCCGGGATGGGGCCTGGATCTTGTCTGCCACCACCCACTTGCCACTGTCACCCGTAGCATAAGCCTCATCGAGTGCGGCCCGGTACACACAGCCTTCTATGAGAAGCTGGAGGGCGGCCTAGGTGGAGCCCTGGACCGCGCGGATGCCCAGACCCGTCACCTCTTCTCGCTCTTCCAGCGCCACTTAATGCGTGTCTTTCAAGAGGCGCAGGATCCGGAGGAGGTGTCGGAGGTGGGTGACTGGGTGACACAAAGTGGGGAGGGAGAGTGCAGGGCAGGGCGCACGGTCCAGGCAGATGACCTCCAGCGCCCCTCTTCCCGCGCCCCAGGTGTTCCTCACCGCCCTGCGCGCCCCGCAGCCCTCCCTGCGCTACTTCAGCACCGAGCGCTTCCTGCCCCTGGCCCGGCTGCGCCTGGAGGATCTCAGCGGCTGCAGCTACGTGGCTACCTTGCACCAGGCCATGTTCTCTGACAAGCTGGTGGAGGGCTCTGAGACCCAAGCCGGACCCCTAGGGGACCCTGAGGTCAGCCCTTCTGCTGCACCTAAATAAATGTTTTTGCCTACCGCTACCTAATGAATCATGCTTTGCCTTCTGGGGGTTGGGCATTCCAGGGGAATGAGGCTAGTCACGTCTCATTGTGTGGCCCCTAGTGACTAATACAGACCATATCCCCCCCCACTTATACCTACAGGTCCCCCAGGAGGTGGGGAGTCTGGGTCAAGCCTCAAAGCCATGCAGGGCCTAGGTTAGAACAGTCTCTGGATGTACAAGAGATGCTTGCACCAGTAGGAAATTAGGGGAGAAAGGGAGCCTCCCCTAGTTTGTGAATTGTCCCTGGTGAGTCATAATGCCTCCTCAGGCAAAGAACACTTTCCCTGTGTCAGTTCTTTTGCTCAAGGCTAGCACTCTACCACTTTGAGCTATAGCACCATTTCCAGTTTTCTGGTAGTTAACTAAAGATGAATCTCATGGACTTTCTTGCCCCAGCTGGCTTTGAACTGCTGTAGGGAACTCTGGAACTAAGCTATGACACCAAGACAGGGTTAAGAGGTTGGAATGCCACTTTGTCAGTATTCAGAAGCTTGAGAATTGGACCCTGGAAAGGTCAAAACGGGCAAGGCAGAATAAATAAGTTAGCAATAACTAGACCTGATGATGTCTAAGTCACAGTTGACTGGCCCCTATGATGATTGAGACAATGGGAATAAGAGGAATGGGTCATGGTCACCACTTCGCATTGCTTCCTAACTACAGGGAGTTACTTATTACTATGTACACAAACTATGACTTACGTTAATGATTGTAACCACAAGATAGATTGACACCTTGTGTTCTGCACATACCTATGATCTTCCCTGAACTGAATAAATTTGCTTATGGGAGCTCAGGGTTGAGAAGCCAGTGAGAGCTGGACCCAGACACCCCTCTTTTCTATCCTGTCTTCTTCCTCTTTCTTCTTCTTCTATCTCATTACTCTCTGGTTGTGGTTAGCAACAAACTGAGATCCTCTGAGCTTAGCCTCCTGAGTAGCTAGGATTACAGGTGTGAGCCACCAACACCCTGCCCTGTGTCAGTTCTTATCTGTACATTGAGTATGGCCTTACAATATGGCTGGCTCACTCCCAATAAAGGCTGAAAGTCTTCACCAGCCAGGTTAGAATTACTACGCATCATTCCCCTGTATAGCTTACATGGAACACGGCCACTAGATGTGTAGAGAACACGGCCACTAGATGTGTAAAGAAACAAGGCTAAAAGAATCCAAGGTTAGGTGCTGGTGGCTCACACCTGTAACCCTAGATATTCAGAAGGATTTTTTTTTTTTTTTTTTGGTCCGGTCATGGGGCCTGAATTCTGGGCCTGGGCGCTGTCCCTCAGCTCTTCAGCTCAAGGCTAGCACTCTGCCACTTGAGCCACAGCGCCATTTCCGGCTTTTTTCTTTTTGCTTATGTGGTGCTGAGGATTCAAACCCAGGGCCTTGGGGGCATGCAAGGCAAGCACTCTACCACTGAGCCACCTTCCCAGCCCCATCAGAAGGATCTTTAGTTCAACACCTGTCTGGGCAACAGAGCAAGATCCTGACAGCAAGAAAGGAGGAGGAGGAGGAGGGAGGGAGGAGGGAGGAAAGAAGAAGAAAAGGAGGAGAAGGAGGAAAAGCAGAAGCAAAAGCAAGAAATAAAAAGGAAAAAGGGAAAGGAAAAAGATTCCGATTCTGATGGTGTCCTTGTTCAGAAAACATTTTGGAGTCAGGTGCTGTGCATAATATCTGTAATCATAGCTACTCAGGAGGCTGAGATCTGAGCATCACAGTTTAAAGCTCACCCAAACAAACACGTCTAGCCGGGTGCCGGTGGCTCAC